CTTAGCTCCAAATCAACATTCAGGGTCAATCCTAAGGCCAAGTAACCCTATAGGAACTCTCCTTGAGTTCCCTCATAATGATCTTACCTACTAAATGCTAGAGGTTAGGACCAATATGTGGAACTTCAAATTGAGTAAAGAGAAGAGTTTTGAGTTTCTAATGGTGAGAGTACCTTTTCTAGTTTTCTAAGACACATAGGAAAGTCCTATGGCTAGACCTAGGCTACTAAAGAAGTTTCTAGACCTCAATCAAAATTGAGGTCAACAGTAGAACTTCAAGATGAGCAAAGAAGAGTTTAGAATTTCTATTAGTGAGGGTACCATCACTATTCATCTAGGAATAATCAACAGGAAAGTCCTATGACTAGATCTTCAGCTCCTGAAGAAGAAAAACTCAACCAAAAGTGAGGTCAACAACTTTTAATAATTTTGAAATATCTAAGACAATTTATATGTAATATGTTAATAAGTTGTCAACCTTTTATTATGATGATCAAAGTATATACCAAGTTTACTTGGGACGATAAATGTCAGCATACTTTTGAAAGCATAAAGAAGTACTTAATGGAAACTCCTGTACTAGCAGTCTTGATCTTGGGTAGACCTTTAATACTTTATATCACATCTTTATTAGACTCCCTCAAAACTCTGTTAGCTCTGTGGTCAAGATAAGCGAAAAGAAAATGCTTTATACTTTTCAATTCTTGTTTAATTTTGAATGAGATAAAGTATATGTTGATTGAAAAGTATTGTCTAGCATTGATCTTTGTAGTTTAAAAGCTTAGACATTATATGTTATTTAAATAATGTTAACTTTATCTCAAGGTTTAATCCATTGCAATAATTGATGACTCACTAACTCTTTCTGAAAGATTAGCAAGATGATCGATGATACTGTTGTCATTTGATATAACCTTTGTTCCCTTGCATGCCCAAAATGGTTAAGGTTTAGCAGATTTGCTTTTCAATTCTTGTTTAATTTTGAATGAGATAAAGTATCCTCTGATTGAAAAGTATTGTCTAGCGTTGATCTTTGTAGTTTAAAAGCTTAGACATTATATGTTTTTTAAATAATGTTAACTTTATCTTAAGGTTTAATCCATTGTAATACTTGATGACTCACTAACTCTTTCTGGAAGATTAGCAAGATGATCGATGATGCTGTTGTCATTCGATATAACCTTTGTTCCCTTGCATGCCCAAAATGCTTAAGGTTTAGCAGATTTACCGGCGGTGCACCCAATGCAAACATAATATCCATTGAACAAAGATCTCCTAGATGAACAAATATTGAACTTAGAAGACCCCGATGCTCAACATTTGGAAATGTACTTTAACGAAGCTTCTTCCGCATAGAAAGATAGAACCACAAACAATAGTACCTAGCAAAGCAGGGATCATACTAATCTTCTTCACATCAAAGTAGGGAATGCTCAGATTTACTTATCACTTGATAGAGTCGTGCACAAATAATAAAGCAAAATATGAATCATTGATAACTATTATAAAGCTGACCATTATAATACGCATAAAAGACATTAACATTTAAGGGAAATCTTAGTTGATAATCAACTAAGTAGCCAACTGATATAGAATTCTCAGATGAAAGCTCGAGCGGTACTGCTGGTATATAATGAAGTTACTTAAGTAGAATTTGAATTTGATGTTTGTTGACCTCAATTTTCGTGAGGTCTAGTATTTCTCGTGGGAGTTAGGATCTAGCCTTAGGGGTCTTCCTGCAACTATCTTAGAACCTTAGAAGTGGGACCCGCCTCGTTTTAGTTCGACCTACTTCCGTCCTCTTTTGGAGTTTCACGTGTGTGGTATCGACTTCTAGCACTTAGAAGGATGAAACCGACACGAGGAAACCCAAAAGGGATTCCTTTAGGACCTTTCTGAGTCTTAGGGAGGCCTTTTGCACAATTCGCACTCCTGCGCGCACAAACTTCGCAAATTCGGAGAGTCGACGCGTCCGATCGCCACAATTCGCATCGCTTGCACTGTTATTTGTCGCGGACTCAAATAAA